GTCTTCACAGTAATGGCATCTATCCCATGGTGTTATTATAAGGATTCAATAAGATAATGCATGTAAAGTTCTTGGCATATGCTGCTAAAATCAACAGCAGATGTTTATATAGTACTTACCATGTACTGGGCACTGTTTTAAGAACTTTGATTGTATTAACTCACGGATTCAATGGAATTGTAATAGATAAGCATGATATCGGGGGTGGGAGGGCAGTGGATGGGGGGAGGGGGGTTGTTACTTTGTGAGGGTGAAAAGGNTTGTTATATAATGTGATTTTCAAAAACTCAATCTGATCGGTTAAAAAAGGAAAACACTGGGATTCAATGGAATTGTAATAGATAAGCATGATATGGGGGTTGGAGGGCAGTGGATGGGGGGAGGGGGGTTGTTACTTTGTGAGGGTGAAAAGGGTAACTATTGCATTGTTCTGTACACCTGAAACTAACAATAAAAAAATAAAATAAATAAAAAAAAATCCTTATTACAATGCTATGATCTGGGACTATCATTATTCTTACCTTACATATGGAAAAACCAAGGCCTCGAGAGATCAAGTAACTTGTTCAGGGTCATATTAATGGTGACAATGGCAGGCTTAAAATCCAGGCAGTTTGCCTTGATTGTGGAATCTCAAGCACTACCTTCTGCCATCTCTCAATATTCAGGACTTGTCAAACATTTGCTTTTACTACAGTCATCAATAAATATTTGTTGAAATATTTAATGAATCAATATTTGTGGAAGTACTTATTTATTATTTATTGTAGCTCACTAAATCCCAAATCTTAACATAGGCCACAAAAATAGGCTTTCTTGTTGCTAAGTTTTTTGAAGCAAGTTCTCAGATTCTGCCTATCAAGAGTATCAAGAAAACAAGGTGTATTTAGGGAAGGCAATTCAAAGTAGGTTCCCATATACTATAATATCTATAATTTGTATGATTATTTTTTTAAGAGTTTTAAGTACAAAAATAGTATATGATTTATTGCAAATGATTGACTTCATCTTATGTATACATCACTCCCTACTTTAAAACTTTTATTTAGAAGGAAAATAAAACAATAAGAGGTACCTCTGAAGTAAGAATGTTTTTACTGATATTTTTAAAAATCATAAATCAAAATGTATAACACCTAGCTTCCATTGTTTGAGGTTTATGATTTTATTGCCTGAAATTTGCAATATTTTTTTTTCCTTTGGGAAATCTGATCCCTACAATATTAAGAAACATGGCCTGTTGCTATTTGGCAGAGGGAGGAGGAATTATTTTACTGTTTTGTAACAAAATAATGTACTTTGTTTACAAAGCAAGAATTTGTTTTCCATGCATTATTGGTGAAAATGATATAATTGTATTAATTTTTCTAGCACTTCATTCCTTGTTTCATTTTCTGTTCCTATTCGTGTTTACTTTCTTCTATTTCTAATTTACCTTATCTTTCTGTGTTCCATGTACCTGTATAAACTGCCCTAAGTTCTTCCTGGAACAAGATGAGGGTAAATAAATGTCCTGTGAGCAAAGTATAATGTCAGGTACATATGAAATTTTCATTTTAGTGCAATTTGCAATCAGGCAGGATTAATCTGGCATTTATTACTTTATGTCATTCATGCACTTCTGAGAGCCCTCCTGAGTAGAATGTCTGAATATGAAAAATAGTTACTGTAGTAGGCTGAATAATGGGTCCCAAGGATCTCAGGTCCTAATCCCTGGAACCCGTAAATGGTACCTTATATGGGAGAAGGATCTTTGTAGATATGACTAAATTAAGGATCTTGAGATGGGAAGGTTATGTTGGATTATCCAGGTGGGCTCTAAATGAAATCACAATTGTTCTTCACAAGTAGAGGCAGAGGGAAATTTGACACAGACAGCAAAGAAGGCAACAGAACCTTGGAGGGGGCAGCTATCGGAGTGGTATAGCCAATGAATGCCACCTACAGCCATCAGAACTGGAAGGGACAAGGAATGGCTTCTTTCTTAAAATGTCCAGAGGAAGTGAAGCCCTGCTGATGTCTTGATTTTAGTCCAGTGATAGTGATTTTGGACTTCTAGCCTCCAGAACTATGAGAATACGTTTCTGTTATTTTAAGCTACCACATTTGTAGTAATTTGTTACAGCAGTCATAGGAAACCCACAGTTATTAATCTGAATATATACAAGGGTTAAGTGGGGAGAAAATGTTCTTTTAAACATTAAAGACACTGGGAAAAACAAAAAGTTATTCCCTAGAAAAGTGAAATATAAAAAGAGTTTAAAAAGATCAGTAACTTTTTATTTTAAAGGACTGCCATATGTTTCAGGAAATGCTACATTACTAACCAAATTCCCTCTCTAATATATCATTATATTAAAGTGAAATGATCCAGTGCCAAGAAAGCACCTGGGAACGAATGCTGGTATCCTGTGGGCTGCAATTCCACACTGTTCTCCAGCCCCTCCTAATTGAATGGCTCTGATCATAATCCCACTTCTGCATTTTCTGTTCCACCAACTTCCCAGAACGTATCCTTGTTTTGCTGGAAGTAATGTTTTCTTTTACAAATTCAAAGAACATATTTGCAGAATTTCATTTGTGGAAAAGTTTCTAGGACCGGCTGCTGCATTTCTTGAACTATATGCGCAAACAATGTCCACAGCATCTGGACGGTCTCCTGGAAAGCACAGGGGACATCTCATCAGCAGCGGCCTACTTAACCTCACTCATCTTTGCTCTCTGCAGACCCAGAAGCAGAAAGATGAGCCATCGCCACTCTAGAGAATTCTAAAATGAATTGGGCTGATGATACAAACATGACATAGGACTCTTAGAATCTCAGAGGCAATTCATTTAGCCAGAAAAATATGCCAAGTGGAAAGATTTTCCCCTTATATTAAATAATGTAATAGAACATTTTGTGAAAAGTTTTATTCTTAAAGAACTTAATATGGCTGCTCCTTAAATGATGAAAACAACTCGTACTCCCCACCTACTCTCCCCACCCAGTCATGGGGGGAAGGGGAAGCGTGTCTCAGAAGTCCTGTGCCTATTTCCTCTGTAATGGCAATGAGAATACTACCTACCTGATGGGGCTGTTGTGAAGAAGAAATGAGTAACAAATATAAAGTCCAAAGAACAGAAACCAGGACACAATAAGCAAACTTCACTACTTGGATTATCGCCTACCAGCCTAAAGTTTTTCAGGCTCTCACTGCGCTTTGTGGCCCTCTTTCCTATCATAAACACAGCTGCAATTTCACATTTGTCAAAAACTATCCAATTAATGTCTTCCTCTATTGTAAATTTCAGGAAGCAGATATCAAGTCTATGCTTGCTTCTCCTAGCACAGTGCTTGGCAAAGGAAAGCACTGCAATGTTTGATAAGTAAATCTCGCAAGTAAAGCAAACCAGTGACACCATGGTTCCAATCTGTGGTTTCGGATGTCTTCAAGGTTCAGATGAACTCTGCCTATCTGCTGTAGTTTTTCTCCAGCTCACCAAATAATAGAAAGACCTGGAAAGCTTTCAAATATACCCATACCCAGGCCCCAGAGATTCTAGTTTGATCGGTCTGGGATTAGCCAGGGCCAGTAACCTCTTCCAATAATTCTAACTTGCAAATCAGGTTGGAAAGCTCCAGTGTTGCTCCCACCTGCTTCAATTCGGAAGGGAGGGAAGTCCTCCAAACCGACCTCCGCTTATGAATTTGACCATCAACAGCTCCACCCCCGCCCCCCAACACACACACACACACACACACACACACACACACACACACACACACTTGTTTGCATTCTTCTTTCTTATTTAGATAATGGAAAAAATAATACTGGAAGCGGCAGCTTTATGGACAGGACCTTGGCCGATAGAACAAACGAGGATAGTTCGCGCTGTTCAGACTACTGTAATCCTGGCAGCAAACCTGTTGGATGGCTCCAGGCCCCTGCACCCGCCAATCCGCTCTCATTCGCGATGCTTCTGCCCCTAGAGGGCGAGCGCATAGGGTCACGAACCTTTTTTTTTTTTAATGGGCTTTTATTTATCTTAAAAGCCATCATAGAATTTCCCAACACTGTTAAAGAAAGGTGGTGACTATTGTTTTAAAGGCTGAAGAAAACTGAACACCTCCTCCCTTCTTGGCGTTGCTCCTAGACCCCAGCCTAGAGTCAGGGTCCGTCTTTCCAGTCTCGCGCTCCACATCCTCCCATCTCTGCTCCTTTCTACAGTCCGTTTCCTACCATCCTAGCACGATTCCATCAGGATTCCCTAACCTTGGTCCGAGTGTGACCCCAGACACGAGGCTGTCCTTTGTGAAACTGTCAAGGGTTCCTCCAGCGGGCGGCCGCGGGAATGGGGAGCTGGGCGGCCGGGCCGTAGTCGGGGGGATGGGGATGGGGGCCGCGCCTGGGGAGGCAGAGAGCGCTCCCCGACCGTGGGAAACCGGGACACACGTGTCGGTCTGCTGCAGATCAGCGTGCGGGTAGTGCGGGTAACGCTCTCATCTGGGAAGGCCGGTCCGCGCGCGGCAAGCCGCTGGCGTAGATGAGAACCCGGTCTCCGCCGAGCCGCCACCTCCGCGCGCGCCGCGCTCGGCTCGGGACTTGGGAGCTGCGGGACGCAAGCCCAGGGCGTGAGGAGTAGAGCTCCCTCACTGCTCCCCCAGGGGACGGGACACAACGCGGATTCCCGCTCCTACACAACAGGTCTTTTAGGCACCAGTGAGGTTATGGAAGTTGGGGAGGAGGGGTCGACTGGCTGGGGAAAGCGGTAGCATTCCCTGGGCGCATTTCCTCCGGAGAAGCCTGAGCATTTCACGGCTCCTTCACTGGCCCCCAGCCCCACAGCAAGCCCTGAGTTTGGGGAGCAGGAATTATCCTGCAGGGGCGGGTTGGAGCAGAGTTGCGGCCGTGTGAAGATGGCACCAGTCCACTCTGTCCGAGAAGTTAGGTGATGCAGAAAAAGCGCCTTAATGCGTTCCCTGGGATTGACCCTCAGGGCGATTGGCGACCACTCACCTTGTGCCTGTGCTTCCATGGTGGCCGGCTTCGGGCTGAGCGCAGCGGGGGCACGCTCGCAGAGAAGCAGACTACGGTGCCAGAACTCAGCGCACAGCTAGCCCAGCCGCTTGCGCCCTCCTCCAGTCGCTGCGTGCAGGGGGTGGGGAGCCAGGGGGCAGCCACCACTGGCCGCTTTGGGTTACCTCCGCCCCTTCCAGTCTACCTGGCTCAGACCACGCTGGGAAGAAACTCATCGCTGGGCGCCACCTGCCGGGAACTCTGTGCAGGAGGGCTTTTACTGCTGGCTCAGGGCGCCCACTCCTGGCTCAGGCCGAGTAAATGCCTGACTGAGCTCAAGTAGGTAGGCCCTGAGTTCTACTGTACCATTGTTTCTGTTTAAAGATACCTTACTTAAGGTAGCTTGTTGACTCACCACCAACTCACCACCAACAGCAATATAACCCACACCCGAATGAAACTTATTAAACTTTTGTAACTTACATGCTTTCTCCCTAAGACACTAGACAGCATTTCAGCACTATGTTTGGGGGCCATTTTAAACAGCAAAATCACCCCCCCACCCCCACCCCCGCCCAAAAGCACACAAATGTTTGATTTGTAGTCTGTGAAAAGGGCTCTTGTTTACAGTCTGAAAGCTGAAACAAGAAGGTAGAACTAAGCCTTGTTCATGTACATCTGCCCCAACTTTTCAGGGCTCTGCCCATGTCTGGGAATGACCATGAAAGTGTTGTATTGCTTTTGGTGTCAAAAATAAATTTTAGCGAGGAAGCAAATTCACAGATATGTAATCTGCAAATAATAAGCATCAACTGAGTATTATTTTCAAATCCAAAACCCATAGGCATGTCTGTAGGTAGATGAAGTAGTCATGTTTTCAGAGAAAAGACTAGAAATTTACAGTTCTGTTCCAAGCCTAGCCTGGCAATGTGACTAGAAAGCGTGGCAGAGCCTAAGAAATATCAGCTCATGTCTCACCTGCTGAGGTCTTTAGCTCAGGCCTTTTTCTTCACATCTACACAATCCTCACCTGTAAAATGAAATGTAGTACTTATTTACATTTGCTCTTGGTTTGCTATTTTTTTCCCCAGTTTTTATTTTCTTTCTTAAAACATGTAGATGGTAAAAGTCTATCAGGGACAAGCGGGAGTCCCATATTGAGTCCCTCATATTTTCTGCCAAAGAACCTTATACAAATTCATAGCTCAAACAAGATTTACTGAATAAACAATTAACTAACTAGTAGGTTGTGTTTTATCCATGCCCAAGTTACTCTCAAAGAATAGACTAATAAACATGAATAGAGTCTTACATTTTTGCCTGAAAGAAGGGACCCTCATGACTTCCTGGCACATGTACAAACATGTCTGTGTTTTTTATGTTGAAGATATCCCTGATTTCTAACCATTGACATTAAAATTGCTCGATAGAACACCAAGCATAATACTTTTTTAATGGCTTTTAGTGATAGTGACATGGGTGCTCCAAAGTGATGAGTCAGAATCAATGATTAAATCACGTTTAGAGTCTGTTCAGTTGTTCTAGTCCCCTCTACCCTGGAAATTGAACACCAGCTCAGGGTTGACTCCCAGCTGTTGACAGGAGCTAAAAATAGTTAATGACTTTCCAGCTTGAGTCATCTAAACTTCATCTAAACTCTGACTCATTTTTCTGATTTATAAAATTTTAAGCTACTACCCCCCAAATGTCTTTTATCATTGTTTATAAAAATAAAACCTTGATATTAATTCGGAAATATTTATAAAATACTCTCTGTGTCAGGGACTGTGCTAGATGCAAAGGATACAAGTAAAGGGTGTGTTCCTTTTTTACCCAGGGAGTTCATGTTCTGGTGAGAAGAGGGATAAACAGATGATCTATAAAGTAGTGCAATACTATATGTGCTGTGCTGGAGGTAAGCCCAGTGTGCGTCTAAGCAATATGGGAGGTCTCCAACTGCTGAAGAGATAAAGGAACATTTCTTTGAAGATGTGTGCCTCAGCTGAGTTTTGAAGGATGAAGGAATTAACCAGGTATGTTGTGTTAGCCCCCAAAGAATGGTTTAGCCAAGGGAGATGCTTGTTATGTTCCGTTTCTTTGTCACTTATGATGGTGAATTTCCTTAACTTCCTTAAAGCTTAGTAAAGCAGCCACCTACACCCTCTTGTTCTTCCTTTTTGTAGCTACTCCACATGGAAAACAATGGGTAGGCGTTTGATTAGTCAATGAAATTCTGGTTCACTCCTCCAGAATTGATCTTTCTGCAGTAGTGGGGCTGCAGTGGAAATCATAAAGGTCCAAAGGGAATATGTATTCAAAATGCCTTGCCTAAACCTGATCAAGGTCATTTGTAACATATGCGTATATAGCAGGGCAAACTACTAATTACTGAACATTTGCCTTACCATCCTGCAATGAAATCTGTGAAGCCCCAAGATGCCTCACCCCATCCTTGGCTCACAGTGTCATGTGTACCTAATTTTTCCTTTCTGTCTCTGAACCTCTCATGTATGCAGGGTCGCTGACTCTCTCATGTATGTGGTGTTCCTGTGTGCACAAAATTAAATTTGTTTTTTTCTTCTCAATCTGTCTCATGCCAATTTGATTATTCAACCAGCCGAAAGAACCTCAGGAGGGAAGGGGAATTTTCCCATAAGGTCATCAACTATGGTCCACCAGGGTCTAGGGAGCCTAAATGTCTGTCAACCTCATCCAATTAAATATGGAGCAATTTGGTTTTATCCTTTCTGCTCAATCCCCACCCCATACTCCACCAAGAGGAGCTGCTACCTAGAAGAGAGGAGTGAAAAAAAATCAGACTAGCTTTTTCTCTGTAACTCTCCAACACACAGAGAGAGAGCGAGAGGGAGAGAGAGAGAGAGAGAGAGAGAGAGAGAGAGAGAGAGAGAGAGAGAGAGAGAGAGAGAGACTGATTTTCCAAGCAGTGCTGAAAGAGGGGAGGAGAGGTTTACTCTGAGACTGAGAGACTAGATCATATACCAATATAAGACTGTCTTATTAACCAAAACCTAACTAAACTTAATAGATGTGGACAGCTGCCTGTAAGGGAACCGTTTTCAAGCCAGTTGGGGTACAGTTATTAGAAACATACAAATATTTCATGTTTATCCCTCAAAACTTGTGATTCTCAGTGAATTGGTTACACTATATAAAATAATTAAAAACCTAGTGTAGACTTTTTTTTTTTAAATAAATTCCTCCAAAATTTCTAGACATATTCCCTGGATCCATCAGGTGTGCATGAAATTTCAGAGAATGTAGAGGATAAATGTGCTTTCTTCTTCATTATAAAGAGACATATTGAATTGTACCCTGAGGTTCCTATATAATATAGGGAGGCTACAGTACAGGGAGGTCTTCTCAGTCTAACCAGGGAGGGGATGTTTTGCCAATCATTTCCACATAAAGCTGTTCTTGGAGTTTTCTTGTCTCTTTCTGTTGTCATCAGCCATTCCTTATCTGCTGCCTGAACAGATGCCATTGTCCAATAAAGGACTCGCTCAGAGGGGCTTTACCTTGTCCCTAAAGAGAGAGAGGAAGAACAAGAGAAGGCAGCATGATCGGCGTGGCTATTGCCCTGTAACTCTGTAGGAAGACAGTATGAGAAGTTCTTTCTCTCTTTTGAGGTTGAACTGATCCACAATTGGCACACGCATCTATTGTCCATACTCATAGGATAGATCACAAACAACACTGGAAAAAGGCAAAGTTCTGCCCAGGGACATACTGGTCCTTAGAGTGGCAGTGTTCTTAACCCAATCTCTTTTCTTCGGAGAAGGGTAACTAAGAGGATTGGAAAATATCACTTACCTGAGTCTTCAGGTAGGAATGTGACTACCAGACACAAGCAGTCTGAGATGCTGGGAAGAAAGAAGACCAGGCCTGCGCCAGTCATCTCAGGGTTACCGTTTGATTTTCTTAAATTCCAAAATGTGTAGTTTGAGAAATTGGCTATTTTCAAGCTGCCTGCTTTATTTATTTATTTATATTTTTTCTGCTTAGTGTTTATGTTTCCTTTCAAAATGTTCAACTCTTTCAGCAGCACTAAGGAAAGAAAGAAAGAAAAAAAAAACAGGACATAAGAGGGGTGATGGAACAAAAATTATATATATAATTTATATATTTATATTAGACTGTTTGAAACTATAAATATCCCTATGGTTAAATCTCAAAAATCGAATGCTGAGCAAAAAGCAACTTGCAAAATATGTACAGTGATCTCTTTTCTCTACAGTTTGAAAATATGCAAAACAATGCATTATAATGTTGATGGATAAAGGCATAGTTATCAATAATATAAAAGACATATAGGAATGAAATATAGAAAATTCAGGTTAATATGGAGGAAGGGAGGGGAATGGCATCCAGTACACAGTGCTTTAACATTTCTGTAATGTTTTTTTAAAGACTTTGACCCAACATTGGTAAAAATGTAAGAATTCAATAGAACTGAGCGATAAGCACACAAGATTTATGATATACTCTGCTTTTGAAATTATTTTTATAATCTTAATTAAATAAAAGTTTTAAAGAGATAGTTGCAGTGTTGGAAGTAGGTTAGCAGAGACAAGGGTGTTATTTATGAAAATGGAAAGAAGTGGAGAGACTTGAGAAATATTTGGAATGGAAAAGCCATTGGATGTGGTGTTGGATTTCGTGTGGGGGATGAGAGAAATGCAAGTGTCATTGATTTTGCCAATATTTCAGACTTGCACACCTGGATGGAAGGTGGTATCATTCACACAGACTAGAAACTACAACATCAAAACTATAATGTTTAGGGGCCGGCCGAGTGGCACGATGGTTAAGAACTGGCTTGGGACGCCAGAGGGCCCTGGTTCGGATCCCATATATGAGGGCCAGTGACACTGCCCTCTACAGCTAAGATGCTGAACAACAGCTCAACCTGGAGCTGGGCTGCCTGAGTCTCCGGAGTCGGTGTAGGCTGCAGCCCCTGCTGTGGTGGGTTGCCATGGGCTACCGTGTGCAGCCAGCAGCCAGCGTGAGTGGCCAGCAGCCGCAGTGAGCGGCTGTCCAGAGACCGGCGACTGATTTGCCTCACCCAGGAAGAGTGCAATGATGGTGCCAACTTGGGCCAGTGAAGCAATGTCCTCCACAACTAGACTGAAGAACAAAAGAACAGCAATTTGTCTGTTCCCCTTCCCCCAATTCCCCAGCATTGTTCCCATC